GCCATCGTTTAAGACGGTGACTCGACACTAGCGGCGACAACCACTACAACAACCACATCAACTGCAGTTTCGGTTTCGTCAGCCCTTACTGACAAGCTAGCCAATACCCAACCCAAAAATATCAAAAATGTTAATGGATCGTTAATTCAAACCGGAATCGATCGGTACGAAGAACAATGCGCTATCAAGAAATAGAATTTCTATTTTGAGTGACCCAAAAGAAGATGATACCGCTCAAAAACCTCAGACCAAGCAACCAAGGCAACCACCAATCTTTGTACGTCGGGCAAATTGTTCTGAATTGGTCAAATGGGATTTCTATGTTAAATCCTTAAAAAGGGGTAACATAAATGAAACAAAAATACAAGTGAACAACGAACAAGACTATCGATCTGTTGCCAAACACCTTGACAATGGAAAAATAAATTATTACACCTACCAACTTAAAAGTTGCAAAGGACTACAAGTAGTAATAAAAGGCATCGAAGCAACAGTCCCTATTTCTGAGATCATAGCTGGACTTAAAGAAAAGGGCTTTAATGTCAAACAGGCTATGAACATATTAAATAAAAACAAAGTTCCGCAGCCAATGTTCAAGGTAGAGTTGGAGCCGGAAACTTTGAAACTAAAAAATAATAAAGTCCACCCAATTTATAAGCTTCAATATCTGCTGCACCGTAGGATCACCGTTGATGAGCCCGCGGAATGGGCCCGTGCAATGTATGAATTGGCAGGAATACCGTCATACGAAGACTTACTGCACTCTACGTGCAGTCTGCGTTGGCTGCGGAGATGCACACTCAACTGAGTCCTGCCCAATAAATAAGGATAACCATTCTGCAATAATATGTAGTAATTGTGGGGGAAACCACACTGCAAATTACAGAGGTTGTCCTGTCTATAAAGAGTTGAAAAGTCGACTAGGCCAACACATAACTGCAGCTCGAAATCCTGTAACCCGGAAGAGTTCTTCATTTATAATATATCAACGACCACGATCCCGGGAGTCTCTTTTGCACAGGCTTTAACTAACAACAACGTGGCGAACGCCACAGTATCTAAGGTGACAGTTCAGCAAACCACTGCTGATCCAGTGCGGCAACAATTATTGAACCAGACTCCAGAAACTACTGGCCAACATGCGAATGCAAATACACAATTGCCTAGTGGCGTAGAAGCAATGTTGGTAACTATAACCAACAAGATGGTAGCAATACAGCAAACGCTGCAGGAACTTATGCGCTCTCAAAATCTCCTTTTGGAGCTATTAATTAAACAAAAATCGGTTTAGATGGTTACCCTAAAAATATGTTTCTGGAATGCGAATGACATTTCTCAGTACAAATATGAGCTCTTGCAGTTCTTAGATCAGTATGACATTGACGCCATGCTTGTATGAGAGACTCACCTAACTAACAAAAACTACTTTCACCTAAATGGCTACTCATTTTATAAAACAAACCATCCTGATGGCAAGGCTCATGGCGGCACTGGCATACTGATCAAGAAACGCATCAGGCATTATGAGTTTCCATCATTCGCAACAACCTTTTTACAAGCTACATCAATACACATCGATACCCAAAGCGGTTTCTTAAACCTATCCGCTGTATACTGCCCACCACGCTTCTCCAATTGTACATTTCTTTAACCTATTAGGTGACCGTTTTATAGCGGCTGGTGATTACAATGCGAAACACCCCCATTGGGGCTCTCGACTCACCAATCCGAAAGGAAGACAGCTGTACAACGCTATAATAACACCAAGAAACAAGCTTGATCTTATCTCTCCAGGTAAGCCTACATATTGGCCAACCGATCCTAACAAGAAGCCTGACCTGATGGATTTTGCCGTCACAAGAAGAGTGCCTAGAGGTCATGTTCATGTGGAACACTTATCAGATCTTTCATCGGATCACTCGCCCATTTTAATTCTTCTCTATGACCATCCACAGCTTTCTAAACAAACACATCCTCTAACTTCCAGTAAAACTTATTGATGGCTTCCCAAACATGCACCAAAAAGAAGAGATTGACAGCTCAGTTGAAGCACTAGTGTCTGTTATGTCACTAGCTGCTCAACACTCCACACCTACGATATCGGCTTGTCATTTTAATTCTAATTTTAGCAACAGTCGAGCTACTGGGCATATCAACGAATTGCTACGCAATAAGAGAAGGCTTCGGAGGGAGTGGCAAGCCCACAGATAGCCTGCTTCGAAGGAGAGGCTTAAAACAGCCAACTATCTTCTACGCACAGCCCTAGAAAATGAAAGTAATCGATCTCAATTATTCTATTTGCAGAATCTCTCCCCTAACAGCAGACGATATCCATTGTGGAAAGCAAAATCCGGTATATGTCCACCAATCGAAAGATTAGGGGCGAATGTATTTGCTGCGCATCTCGAAAACGTCTTCAAACCGCTTCCATCAACAAACAGCTTTGTGCTCCCAACAATCAACACTCCAGAGGCTACCCTGCCTATCGCATTCGAATCAAGAGAAGTGACAAGAGTGATAGAGGCTCAGGAAAAAAAGAAAGCGCCAGGACACGATCTAATCTCCCCAAAAATGATTATGGAATTGACGAGCTGTGCAGTAAATCTTCTCACCACGATATTCAACAGCATGATGAAATGAGGCTATTATCCACAACAATGGAAAAATTCCGTTATCACCAGGGCTAACAGAGTTATGTTTTTAAATGAAAAAATATTTATTTCCATATTTTCGCCTTTTTTTCCTATAAATCCATATTTTACGCAATGACTTGAATAAATCCATATTTTGAGCATTAAAGTGTCTGAAAACCTATAGAAAGATATGTTTGGCTCAAATATTATGAAATTTCTGTCGTTTGCCTTATACTCGATAATAAATAATGTAAACAAAACATCGTTGCGTCGTTAATCAATCAAAATATGTATCATCGAATGTAACAATTATGAATCTGCGAATTCTTCAGGACATATCGCGAATGTTAGCAGGAAATCTCATTGATAGTTCTACAGAAGGTGACGATCTCATCCTAAATTTATCACCTGCTGAACTGAATGCATATGCAAATGCTCCTGTTACATCTTGCGATGTTGAGCATTCATTTTCATCATATAAACACATATTGAGTGACAAACGCCGAAGTTTTGTTTTTACTAATCTGACACAGCATGTCATATTGTTCTGCAATGATCTTTGAGACAAACGGCGCACTTTTGTTTGTAGCGATTTCTAATTGTTCATTGTCATAAAAAGTTAATATGATCGACAGTGGCGTAGCGTGCCTTGTCGGGGCCCCGTATAAAAATTTTTTTGGAGGCCCTTATATGGAGGTAAAGATTTTTCACAAAAGAAAAAAATATTGTGAGAAGAAATATTTATTTATCACATTATTTACCCATTTTAAAAATAAAAATCAAATTTTAAATATTCACTCTTACACACTTTGGGGGCCCCCGTGGCCCCGTATAATTGATACGGCAAATACGGCGGTAGCTACGCCCCTGGTGCTGCTCCAAATCAGGCCGATGATGAGTTGGCACCGTACTTGCTGAGTAGTAGTGGCTGTCCAGGTAGATATATGAGAATTGGCGACCGGGCTGCTGCTCCTAGGTGTCCACTGATGGTGTGGCACCGGTAGGGTGCTTGATGATGCGTGATGACTGCCCCCATATTCCCCTGACCTTCAGCACAGTGGGCGAATGACGGCGATAGCCGGAGTAAAGTTTATGGAGCTAAGTGCTCTTTATTCAAATAATTATAAAAAAGAACTGAGGATCCAAGAATCACCCAAGATTTCTACCGACTGTTTGTTATCCCTCAGTAGAGTTAACTTGCACGAGCATCCAAATGCTGTGTCAGCGATTTGGCCGTTGCTGGTCGGTCGCCGACTCTGTCTGGTTAACTTCAGTTAACTTGTACAAGGAAAAACACAAGTGTACATAACTTGGAAACACAACTACATATGTAAGTAGAAGAAACGACAGCTAAACACTTTTTACCAATTTTGTATACCTGTCGTATGTATGTAGATTTAAAAAAAAGGAAGTTTGCGTACTTATTCCCTAAGCTATGGGTCGTAGATTTAAATTGAATTTTAATAACACTGCTGAACTCTAAATCGAATATTTTTCTGACCATTTGTATGACATGTTCATGAAGTTTCAAATTTTTTTGGTAATGAAGCATCGGGTTCAAATAAATAGAATGCTACAACTTGGGAACAAGAATTTAGAGATCTTATTTTATTTAAGTGCTAATGTTCAATTAGTTTATATTTTATTTGGAAATATTCTTATTATGTATAGATAAGTCCTTTCCGTCATATGTTATCCCTTCATAAAAAAATTTTCGATTTGAGCGACATTGAGGACCGCATTTAGTAGAACCACAATTTTGGCATTCATACCAGCAACCATCACATTTATCGTTCATGCAGTCACCTACAAAAAAATTATTTTTTTTATTTGTTGATTTCAATATATTCTACTTACAAATGTCTAGTCCGCTGGTCCGAATATTTCCGTATTCATCATATACGCTGCTTCTTCCACAATATTGCCCTTTCTTTTTGCCTTTTTTTTATTTATTTCTAAATCGTGTTTTGCATCGTCGTTGGAAACACAATTTTTTTTATTTCTTTGTCGCAAGTTGCGACCAATAGAATACTCAGGATTCATATTTGCACACATATCTTTCAAAATCAAATATATGCTGAGAAGCTGACGTCAAGCTAGCGGCATTGCTTCGCAGATAAGCAATGTGTCATAAGGGTTGTTCTTATTTTTTTTGCACTATATATACGGTCCACACTTTTACTTTGGTAAAAAGTCTGTTACGAACTGCTATTGGGTGGGCAGTGCCGCTAGCTCAGCGTTCTCGTTTGGGCCAAGTTCTCCCCAATGCCCGCAGTCCGTCAACATAAACAAACAACATCGATAACGGTCGTCTCACAACACTAAACTCTCTGCGATCTCTAACAAAAATGTAAACAAACCAACACATAAACATTCAAATACAAGGCGGCGGAAATTTGGATCTTTGGTGGCCATCGGTGTTCTTGGCCACTGCGTACCCACCCAACCTAGGATGCCTGGTAAGTGTTATCACCGCATCCCCCATAATGGTCAACAAGTCACTCCAGGCGACTAACTTAACTCCATCTCCCCCACAGAAAAAGGTCTAGCAATTCATCATCATTACAAACTGGCTTTAATTATTCAGGTGAGTATGATCGACATAGTTTCTAATATTTATCTAATCAAAAATTTAATCACATACAGGCCGCAGGATCGCTAATCGACCGCCGTCTTAAAATTTAGCGGTCAAAGCTAATTGTTAAGAAAAGGACCGGAAATGTTCTGCCACCCTTATATCGGCAGAATTCTTTTGTTAACGCGGCTTAAAATTAGGGTCACCTAATCCTGAAGAGCTCCAAGGGAAAAGGAGGGACGCCGAAAGGTATGGGAGATTTACACACTCGATTCCTTCATCCTAATTAATTGCGACCCTTTTATTTTAGCAACCGTCGATCAAGGGTGAATCTTTGGAAGGACGCCCAATAGACTTAACAATATAAGGTATTTGAATTCTTAAAAACTACACATTATATTAATTGATTTTCCTCAATTTCAGGAAGTGGTGGGTTTGGGCTCGGCCCACCAGGAAATCGCACCACCAGGAACTCGGAGGCTTATGGAGTTTGGCTGGCCAACCTCGTGGTACCAACCGCTCGCGAGGTAAACTGGCCACTATCGGAGGCACCACGACACGGAACGGACTCACCGGAGATCTGGAGTCCGAGAATGGTGACTGGGTCGCTGATGATTCCCTCACTCTTGCGTAAGCCGACTTCGTTTCCTCCAAAAAAATTATTTGTACGAAAACGGCGTATCTTCCAAAATTGATTATCTCCAACCAGGGAAAATGTGGATCTCCTCCAAAATAAATTATACTGAGGCTCCTCCAAAATGAACGTGGTACTCGCAATAATATGTAGCTCCTCCAAAAATATGGTGTTCTTTGAACAATGTGGTTTCTCCAGAAATATTTATTGGGTTTCTTCAAAAAGAACGTGTTGCTCAAGAAAAAATGAGGCTTCTCCAGAATAAGGCGATCTTCAAAACAGGTTATATCGTCTTCACGAAAAATATGCATTCCTCAAGAAAAAGAATCCCGGAGCCCTTTATTATGGGACCCCGGGTTCCCTAAACAAAAATAAACATTTTATTTTTACTAAAGAAAATTACAAAAAAAACTAACTCACTTTTCACAAAAGTTTCACAATGCCACTACGAGTACAAATCCCCGTCCACCACGCTTGTCTTTTCCGATACCACTAAACTCTGATCCGTAATATCACGCCATGTGCCCTACCATCTCACCCAGGCTCTCTCGAAGATGGTCAACGGACATCCCCAAGGCCATCTAAGAGAAATCCTAAGCCCAGGTTACATGTTTACATTTTACATGATCTGCCCAAGGCCCAAAAAGGTGGCGCTGCCCTAACCATCGCTATTTGATCTAATCTATCGATAGCTCCTCCTGGAATCGACTCCAACTGCAACATCAACCAAGGATTTCGAGAGGTGCTACAACGAAGTTTGCGGAACGACGAAATACTTGGTAGCTTTGGAGGAGACCAGGAATACAGGCAGTTCGTACGGCGCCTAACGCGGGGCCCACGCTTGCCTGGAAGTTTTGCGATCGATTTTCGGGCTCTCGTTTAATTTGTGTACCCATTTCAGCTCACAACTGGATGTCTGTGCCGTGGTACACCACCAGACTGCGACTCTGGACTGACGAACGTGGCACCACTCCTTGGTTCGACCGGTGAGGAAAAGATGGAAGTGTCTCGCTATTTCTGCCGTGGACGCTGGTGATCCTCGCTTGGAAAGTCGCCAGCCCGGTGGTCCTCGATGCGCCAGGTTTGGCCATTTCCATCCGGACCCCTGTACCCCTCGGCCTCCGGAGGATAACTTGGCCTGGTGCTGGCCCAATCCGCCGATATGTCCACTCTACGCTTTGGCTTCGGCGGGACCAATGGAGGTGGTGGACACGGTCTACCTCTTTTGGGAATGGCGTCCTGCCTGTGACGCGACGACGACTCTGATTCCGCTGCTGCTGGCTGTTGCTGCCGATCCGTCTGTTCTCCGGCCGCGGGAGAAGGCCTTGGATCTGCTGGCCTGAGAGCGTCGTTCAGGAGCTTCATCAACTCCAGGAATCCTTCACGGATTTCATCCCGTATCGACTGACTCACTCCCGCCTCCTGTGCCTTTCGGTACGTCTCAGCCGCCTGCGCGATCGCCACATTCACTGCCGACTTCTCCTCCGAAGCGATCCGTGATTTTGCCGAGTTCCCGTCGCCTAGCTCGAGCAGTTGCTCACGCTCTACTCGAGCAGCACCCTCTACGTCCGTTGGCCGAGGAGCATCTTCGTCTCTTCCAGGAGGACCCATCGACCTCAGCTGGTGGTCGTGCCTGTTCCCAAAATCCCTATCTTTCGGCATTCTTCACTACAACAAATATTTCTTATCCTAATACCACAAAAAATATATAAATAACAAGAAATATCGCCACTACAAAAATTAATATTACGTATGACTAAATAAATAATGAGAATAAATAATGAAACAAATAATGAAACAAATAATGGAATAAATAATGGAATAAATAAATAAATCAATGGCAAAATAAATAATGCAATAAATAACAGAATAATAAATAACAGAATAAATAAATAAATTATGAAACAGCCAAAAAAAAAAACGCCTGAAATAAATATTAATAAATAACTAGAAATCACCACTAACTATAAAACTCTTCGAGCCACCAGATAACTAATCTCTTTCAATCTTTCAGCTCCTACTGTGGGGAGATGAAATCAATGTCGCCGGTGGACTTCCGACCATAGTACACCTACGCATCGCCAAAAATCTTCCTAATTTCCGCCCCTCTCGCAGCCGCTCGTCAACTGGTCTAGCTATCACTTTAAGTGATAGCTGCCAGTTAAGGACTCCAGCCGCTCCTGGACTGCTGTTGGTTTTCTTCCTCATCTGCGGTTCCCATCGCAAATCGAGGGACTCGTGCATCGCGTGTACTTTCAACGGGCCACGAGTACCAATTAAGTTGTTAAAACCGACAGGAAATTGGAAACCTACAGACGGAAGAAAAACCCAGGAACCCATTTACAGTCAACAAAAAAAAACGAAATAAATAAATTAATGTTACAAAAAAAAAATTACAAAGAAAATGAGACTGTTTATTGGCCAGCATGTTACTGGACAAGCCTCCCACCCTCCTTAGCTGATCTCTAGTTCCCGAGTCACCCTTCCCGATGCAATTGCATACGTCTACAAGCCACCGTTCAGAGTGACCGGAAACTAGGCCAGCTCGTCGCCTCAACCATTTTCAAAATTTAATTGTGCGACCAGGGAGCAATTGACCAGTACTCTGGAAAAGCCTCCCACTTCCTTAGCTTCTCCTTAGTTCGCCAGTCCCCCATCACGATGCAATTGCATACGTCTGCAAGCCACCGTTCTGAGGGACTGACCAACTAAGTCAGCTCCTCGCGAGACGTCGTCGCCTCGACCATGTATCTATTTTTTTTTAAATTGGGCGCCATTATGTTACGAACTGCTTTTTGGATGGGCAGTGCCGCTAGCTCAGCGATCTCTTTGGGCCAGGTTCTCCCCAATGCCCGCAGTCCGTCAACATAAACAAACAACATCGATAACGGTCGTCTCACAACACTAAACTCTCTGCGATCTCTAACAAAAATGTAAACAAACCAAAACATAAACATTCAAATACAAGGCGGCGGAAATTTGGATCTTTGGTGGCCATCGGTGTTCTTGGCCACTGCGTACCCACCCAACCTAGGATGCCTGGTAAGTGTTATCACCGCATCCCCCATAATGGTCAACAAGTCACTCCAGGCGACTAACTTAACTCCATCTCCCCCACAGAAAAAGGTCTAGCAATTCATCATCATTACAAACTGGCTTTAATTATTCAGGTGAGTATGATCGACATAGTTTCTAATATTTATCTAATCAAAAATTTAATCACATACAGGCCGCAGGATCGCTAATCGACCGCCGTCTTAAAATTTAGCGGTCAAAGCTAATTGTTAAGAAAAGGACCGGAAATGTTCTGCCACCCTTATATCGGCAGAATTCTTTTGTTAACGCAGCTTAAAATTAGGGTCACCTAATCCTGAAGAGCTCCAAGGGAAAAGGAGGGACGCCGAAAGGTATGGGAGATTTACACACTCGATTCCTTCATCCTAATTAATTGCGACCCTTTTATTTTAGCAACCGTCGATCAAGGGTGAATCTTTGGAAGGACGCCCAATAGACTTAACAATATAAGGTATTTGAATTCTTAAAAACTACACATTATATTAATTGATTTTCCTCAATTTCAGGAAGTGGTGGGTTTGGGCTCGGCCCACCAGGAAATCGCACCACCAGGAACTCGGAGGCTTATGGAGTTTGGCTGGCCAACCTCGTGGTACCAACCGCTCGCGAGGAAAACTGGCCACTATCGGAGGCACCACGACACGGAACGGACTCACCGGAGATCTGGAGTCCGAGAATGGTGACTGGGTCGCTGATGATTCCCTCACTCTTGCGTAAGCCGACTTCGTTTCCTCCAAAAAAATTATTTGTACGAAAACGGCGTATCTTCCAAAATTGATTATCTCCAACCAGGGAAAATGTGGATCTCCTCCAAAATAAATTATACTGAGGCTCCTCCAAAATGAACGTGGTACTCGCAATAATATGTAGCTCCTCCAAAAATATGGTGTTCTTTGAACAATGTGGTTTCTCCAGAAATATTTATTGGGTTTCTTCAAAAAGAACGTGTTGCTCAAGAAAAAATGAGGCTTCTCCAGAATAAGGCAATCTTCAAAACAGGTTATATCGTCTTCACGAAAAATATGCATTCCTCAAGAAAAAGAATCCCGGAGCCCTTTATTATGGGACCCCGGGTTCCCTAAACAAAAATAAACATTTTATTTTTACTAAAGAAAATTACAAAAAAAAACTAACTCACTTTTCACAAAAGTTTCACAATGCCACTACGAGTACAAATCCCCGTCCACCACGCTTGTCTTTTCCGATACCACTAAACTCTGATCCGTAATATCACGCCATGTGCCCTACCATCTCACCCAGGCTCTCTCGAAGATGGTCAACGGACATCCCCAAGGCCATCTAAGAGAAATCCTAAGCCCAGGTTACATGTTTACATTTTACATGATCTGCCCAAGGCCCAAAAGGTGGCGCTGCCCTAACCATCGCTATTTGATCTGATCTATCGATAGCTCCTCCTGGAATCGACTCCAACTGCAACAAGTCTAAGCAAAATTGTGCGTGTAGCATAGTGCATATAACAGTAGTTAAACTTCTAGGAGTGAGAGAGATATAGGAAAAGCAAGAAAGAAGAAAAAAGAGAAAGAGAGAAAATATATAAAAATAAATGTACACCATACAAAAATTAAAATAGGAAATTGGTTAATTGCATATTTACATCCTCACTCAGGAAAATGTACAACATTTTCTGTGAGTAGAACTGTACAAAATTAATACTGGAAATGTTTTATTTGCTTACTAAAACCGATTGTTTAAGAATGAAAAAATATTTTTTAGAGGTAACAGAAGGCCTCAAAGTATTCGGCCACGTCCACCAGGGGCAAGGGGCCACTTCCCCCTTCCGCACCATGGAATTTGGAGCGCTGGCGGTGGTCCTGCATCTCGAATTGTGGCTTTTCCGTTTGATGCCATCGTTTTTCTCGGTTGTGGTGCCGATGCATGCCCCGGCCATTGGCTCCTCCCGGTCATATTTGGTTTTTGTCCCGAAAATTTTGCAAATTCCCCTGATATTTTTTCCTTTGGGTGCTTTGCTTTATTTCCGCGACTCGTCTGTTCCACTAATTGCTCTAAAAACCCAATCAAGGGCAAACTTTTGATGCAAATTACGATTTGATGACACCTTTAAAAAATGTTTCTTATATCTGACCGTCACCCGCGAGCGTTTCTCTCTCTCTCTCCCAGTGGCGTAGCGTGCCTTGTCGGGGCCCCGTATAAAAATTTTTTTGGAGGCCCTTATATGGAGGTAAAGATTTTTCACAAAAGAAAACAAGAAAGGAAGCTAGCTTCGGCAAACCGAAGCTTTTATACCCTTGCAGTCATCAAATATGTCGAAAAAAATACATAACTACACACCTTTTGGGAAAGTTTCAGCAAGATAGCTTTAAAACTGAGAGACTAGTTTGAGCGGAAACGGACAGACGTAGACGTGGCCCGGGGGCCCCCAAAGTGTGGAAGAGTGAATATTTAAAATTTGATTTTTATTTGTAAAATGGGTAAATAATCTGATAAATAAATATTTCTTCTCACAATATTTTTTATACCCTTGCAGAGCAAAAGGGTATTATAATTTCAGTCAGAAGTTTGCAACGCAGTGAAGGAGACACCTCAGACCCCATAAAGTATATATATTCTTGATCAGCATCACGAGTAGAATTAGAATACGTCTGTACGTCTGTCCGTTTCCGCGCAAACTAGTCTCTCAGTTTTAAAGCTATCTTGCTGAAACTTTCCCAAAAGGTGTGTAGTTATTGCACGCAGTATATAAGTCGGAACGGACCAGATCGGCCGACTATATCGGATAGCTCCCATACGAGAGAATGAAATTAAAAATTCTCACGCCGTTGTTTTTGATCAGATCCGAGTATAGCCGTCTTTTGAACAATAGTCGAAAATATAGAAAATGAATAGAAAAATCGTCTTAGCTTCGATGTTGTTTAGCCGTTATGTATTTTTTCGACATATTTGATGACTGCAAGGGTATAAAAGCTTCGGTTTGCCGAAGCTAGCTTCCTTTCTTGTTTTCTTTTGTGAAAAATCTTTACCTCCATATAAGGGCCTCCAAAAAATTTTTTATACGGGGCCCCGACAAGGCACGCTACGCCACTGGGAGAGAGAGAGAGAAACGCTCGCGGGTGACGGTCAGATATAAGAAACATTTTTTCTGATTTTTAAAGGTGTCATTAAATCGTAATTTGCATCAAAAGTTTGCCCTTGATTGGGTTTTTAGAGCAATTAGTGGAACAGACGAGTCGCGGAAATAAAGCAAAGCACCCAAAGGAAAAAATATCAGGGGAATTTGCAAAATTTTCGGGACAAAAACCAAATATGACCGGGAGGAGCCAATGGCCGGGGCATGCATCGGCACCACAACCGAGAAAAACGATCGGGGCCCCGTATAAAAATTTTTTTGGAGGCCCTTATATGGAGGTAAAGATTTTTCACAAAAGAAAAAAATATTGTGAGAAGAAATATTTATTTATCACATTATTTACCCATTTTAAAAATAAAAATCAAGTTTTAAATATTCACTCTTACACACTTTGGGGGCCCCCGTGGCCCCGTATAATTGATACGGCAAATACGGCGGTAGCTACGCCCCTGGTGCTGCTCCAAATCAGGCCGATGATGAGTTGGCACCGTACTTGCTGAGTAGTAGCGGCTGTCCAGGTAGATATATGAGAATTGGCGACCGGGCTGCTGCTCCTAGGTGTCCACTGATGGTGTGGCACCGGTAGGGTGCTTGATGATGCGTGATGACTGCCCCCATATTCCCCTGACCTTCAGCACAGTGGGCGAATGACGGCGATAGCCGGAGTAAAGTTTATGGAGCTAAGTGCTCTTTATTCAAATAATTATAAAAAAGAACTGAGGATCCAAGAATCACCCAAGATTTCTACCGACTGTTTGTTATCCCTCAGTAGAGTTAACTGGCACGAGCATCCAAATGCTGTGTCAGCGATTTGGCCGTTGCTGGTCGGTCGCCGACTCTGTCTGGTTAACTTCAGTTAACTTGTACAAGGAAAGACACAAGTGTACATAACTTGGAAACACAACTACATATGTACGTAGAAGAAACGACAGCTAAACACTTTTTACCAATTTTGTATACCTGTCGTATGTATGTAGATTTAAAAAAAGGAAGTTTGCGTACTTATTCCCTAAGCTATGGGTCGTAGATTTAAATTGAATTTTAATAACACTGCTGAACTCTAAATCGAATATTTTTCTGACCATTTGTATGACATGTTCATGAAGTTTCAAATTTTTTTGGTAATGAAGCATCGGGTTCAAATAAATAGAATGCTACAACTTGGGAACAAGAATTTAGAGATCTTATTTTATTTAAGTGCTAATGTTCAATTAGTTTATATTTTATTTGGAAATATACTTATTATGTATAGATAAGTCCTTTCCGTCATATGTTATCCCTTCATAAAAAAATTTTCGATTTGAGCGACATTCAGGACCGCATTTAGTAGAACCACAATTTTGGCATTCATACCAGCAACCATCACATTTATCGTTCATGCAGTCACCTACAAAAAAATTATTTTTTTTATTTGTTGATTTCAATATATTCTACTTACAAATGTCTAGTCCGCTGGTCCGAATTTTTCCGTATTCATCATATACGCTGCTTCTTCCACAATGTTGCCCTTTCTTTTTGCCTTTTTTTTATTTATTTCTAAATCGTGTTTTGCATCGTCGTTGGAAACACAATTTTTTTTATTTCTTTGTCGCAAGTTGCGACCAATAGAATACTCAGGATTCATATTTGCACACATATCTTTCAAAATCAAATATATGCTGAGAAGCTGACGTCAAGCTAGCGGCATTGCTTCGCAGATAAGCAATGTGTCATAAGGGTTGTTCTTATTTTTTTTGCACTATATATACGGTTCACACTTTTACTTTGGTAAAAAGTCTAAGCAAAATTGTGCGTGTAGCATAGTGCATATAACAGTAGTTAAACTTCTAGGAGTGAGAGAGATATAGGAAAAGCAAGAAAGAAGAAAAAAGAGAAAGAGATAAAATATATAAAAATAAATGTACACCATACAAAAATTAACATAGGAAATTGGTTAATTGCATATTTACATCCTCACTCAGGAAAATGTACAACATTTTCTGTGAGTAGAACTGTACAAAATTAATACTGGAAATGTTTTATTTGCTTACTAAAAACGATTGTTTAAGAATGAAAAAATATTTTTTAGAGGTAACAGAAGGCCTCAAAGTATTCGGCCACGTCCACCAGGGGCAAGGGGCCACTTCCCCCTTCCGCACCATGGAATTTGGAGCGCTGGCGGTGGTCCTGCATCTCGAATTGTGGCTTTTCCGTTTGATGCCATCGTTTTTCTCGGTTGTGGTGCCGATGCATGCCCCGGCCATTGGCTCCTCCCGGTCATATTTGGTTTTTGTCCCGAAAATTTTGCAAATTCCCCTGATATTTTTTCCTTTGGGTGCTTTGCTTTATTTCCGCGACTCGTCTGTTCCACTAATTGCTCTAAAAACCCAATCAAGGGCAAACTTTTGATGCAAATTACGATTTGATGACACCATTAAAAATCAGAAAAAATGTTTCTTATATCTGACCGTCACCCGCGAGCGTTTCTCTCTCTCTCTCCCAGTGGCGTAGTGTGCCTTGTCGGGGCCCCGTATAAAAATTTTTTTGGAGGCCCTTATATGGAGGTAAAGATTTTTCACAAAAGAAAACAAGAAAGGAAGCTAGCTTCGGCAAACCGAAGCTTTTATACCCTTGCAGTCATCAAATATGTCGAAAAAAATACATAACTACACACCTTTTGGGAAAGTTTCAGCAAGATAGCTTTAAAACTGAGAGACTAGTTTGTGCGGAAACGGACAGACGTAGACGTGGCCCGGGGGCCCCCAAAGTGTGGAAGAGTGAATATTTAAAATTTGATTTTTATTTGTAAAATGGGTAAATAATCTGATAAATAAATATTTCTTCTCACAATATTTTTTATACCCTTGCAGAGCAAAAGGGTATTATAATTTCAGTCAGAAGTTTGCAACGCAGTGAAGGAGACACCTCAGACCCCATAAAGTATATATATTCTTGATCAGCATCACGAGTAGAATCAGAATACGTCTGTACGTCTGTCCGTTTCCGCGCAAACTAGTCTCTCAGTTTTAAAGCTATCTTGCTGAAACTTTCCCAAAAGGTGTGTAGTTATTGCACGCAGTATATAAGTCGGAACGGACCAGATCGGCCGACTATATCGGATAGCTCCCATACGAGAGAATGAAATTAAAAATTCTCACGCCGTTGTTTTTGATCAGATCCGAGTATAGCCGTCTTTTGAACAATAGTCGAAAATATAGAAAATGAATAGAAAAATCGTCTTAGCTTCGATGTTGTTTAGCCGTTATGTATTTTTTCGACATATTTGATGACTGCAAGGGTATAAAAGCTTCGGTTTGCCGAAGCTAGCTTCCTTTCTTGTTTTCTTTTGTGAAAAATCTTTACCTCCATATAAGGGCCTCCAAAAAATTTTTTATACGGGGCCCCGACAAGGCACGCTACGCCACTGGGAGAGAGAGAAACGCTCGAGGGTGACGGTCAGATATAAGAAACATTTTTTCAGATTTTTAAAGGTGTCATCAAATCTTAATTTGCATCAAAAGTTTGCCCTTGATTGGGTTTTTAGAGCAATTAGTGGAACAGACGAGTCGAGGAAATAAAGCAAAGCACCCAAAGGAAAAAATATCGGGGGAATTTGCAAAATTTTCGGGACAAAAACCAAATATGACCGGGAGGAGCCAATGGCCGGGGCATGCATCGGCACCACAACCGAGAAAAACGATCGGGGCCCCGTATAAAAATTTTTTGGAGGCCCTTATATGGAGGTAAAGATTTTTCACAAAAGAAAAAAATATTGTGAGAAGAAATATTTATTTATCACATTATTTACCCATTTTAAAAATAAAAATCAAATTTTAAATATTCACTCTTACACACTTTGGGGGCCCCCGTGGCCCCGTATAATTGATACGGCAAATACGGCGGTAGCTACGCCCCTGGTGCTGCTCCAAATCAGGCCGATGATGAGTTGGCACCGTACTTGCTGAGTAGTAGCGGCTGTCCAGGTAGATATATGAGAATTGGCGACCGGGCTGCTGCTCCTAGGTGTCCACTGATGGTGTGGCACCGGTAGGGTGCTTGATGATGCGTGATGACTGCCCCCATATTCCCCTGACCTTCAGCACAGTGGGCGAATGACGGCGATAGCCGGAGTAAAGTTTATGGAGCTAAGTGCTCTTTATTCAAATAATTATAAAAAGAACTGAGGATCCAAGAATCACCCAAGATTTCTACCGACTGTTTGTTATCCCTCAGTAGAGTTAACTTGCACGAGCATCCAAATGCTGTGTCAGCGATTTGGCCGTTGCTGGTCGGTCGCCGACTCTGTCTGGTTAACTTCAGTTAACTTGTACAAGGAAAGACACAAGTGTACATAACTTGGAAACACAACTACATATGTACGTAGAAGAAACGACAGCTAAACACTTTTTACCAATTTTGTATACCTGTCGTATGTATGTAGATTAAAAAAAAGGAAGTTTGCGTACTTATTCCCTAAGCTATGGGTCGTAGATTTAAATTGAATTTTAATAACACTGCTGAACTCTAAATCGAATATTTTTCTGACCATTTGTATGACATGTTCATGAAGTTTCAAATTTTTTTGGTAATGAAGCATCGGGTTCAAATAAATAGAATGCTACAACTTGGGAACAAGAATTTAGAGATCTTATTTTATTTAAGTGCTAATGTTCAATTAGTTTATATTTTATTTGGAAATATACTTATTATGTATAGATAAGTCCTTTCCGTCATATGTTATCCCTTCATAAAAAAATTTTCGATTTGAGCGACATTCAGGACCGCATTTAGTAGAACCACAATTTTGGCATTCATACCAGCAACCATCACATTTATCGTTCATGCAGTCACCTACAAAAAAATTATTTTTTTTATTTGTTGATTTCAATATATTCTACTTACAAATGTCTAGTCCGCTGGTCCGAATTTTTCCGTATTCATCATATACGCTGCTTCTTCCACAATGTTGCCCTTTCTTTTTGCCTTTTTTTTATTTATTTCTAAATCGTGTTTTGCATCGTCGTTGGAAACACAATTTTTTTTATTTCTTTGTCGCAAGTTGCGACCAATAGAATACTCAGGATTCATATTTGCACACATATCTTTCAAAATCAAATATATGCTGAGAAGCTGACGTCAAGCTAGCGGCATTGCTTCGCAGATAAGCAATGTGTCATAAGGGTTGTTCTTTTTTTTTTTGCACTATATATACGGTTCACACTTTTACTTTGGTAAAAAGTCTAAGCAAAATTGTGCGTGTAGCATAGTGCATATAACAGTAGTTAAACTTCTAGGAGTGAGAGAGATATAGGAAAAGCAAGAAAGAAGAAAAAAGAGAAAGAGATAAAATATATAAAAATAAATGTACACCATACAAAAATTAACATAGGAAATTGGTTAATTGCATATTTACATCCTCACTCAGGAAAATGTACAACATTTTCTGTGAGTAGAACTGTACAAAATTAATACTGGAAATGTTTTATTTGCTTACTAAAAACGATTGTTTAAGAATGAAAAAATATTTTTTAGAGGTAACAGAAGGCCTCAAAGTATTCGGCCACGTCCACCAGGGGCAAGGGGCCACTTCCCCCTTCCGCACCATGGAATTTGGAGCGCTGGCGGTGGTCCTGCATCTCGAATTGTGGCTTTTCCGTTTGATGCCATCGTTTTTCTCGGTTGTGGTGCCGATGCATGCCCCGGCCATTGGCTCCTCCCGGTCATATTTGGTTTTTGTCCCGAAAATTTTGCAAATTCCCCTGATATTTTTTCCTTTGGGTGCTTTGCTTTATTTCCGCGACTCGTCTGTTCCACTAATTGCTCTAAAAACCCAATCAAGGGCAAACTTTTGATGCAAATTACGATTTGATGACACCTTTAAAAATCAGAAAAAATGTTTCTTATATCTGACCGTCACCCGCGAGCGTTTCTCTCTCTCTCTCCCAGTGGCGTAGTGTGCCTTGTCGGGGCCCCGTATAAAAATTTTTTTGGAGGCCCTTATATGGAGGTAAAGATTTTTCACAAAAGAAAACAAGAAAGGAAGCTAGCTTCGGCAAACCGAAGCTTTTATACCCTTGCAGTCATCAAATATGTCGAAAAAAATACATAACTACACACCTTTTGGGAAAGTTTCAGCAAGATAGCTTTAAAACTGAGAGACTAGTTTGAGCGGAAACGGACAGACGTAGACGTGGCCCGGGGGCCCCAAAGTGTGGAAGAGTGAATATTTAAAATTTGATTTTTATTTGTAAAATGGGTAAATAATCTGATAAATAAATATTTCTTCTCACAATATTTTTTATACCCTTGCAGAGCAAAAGGGTATTATAATTTCAGTCAGAAGTTTGCAACGCAGTGAAGGAGACACCTCAGACCCCATAAAGTATATATATTCTTGATCAGCATCACGAGTAGAATCAGAATACGTCTGTACGTCTGTCCGTTTCCGCGCAAACTAGTCTCTCAGTTTTAAAGCTATCTTGCTGAAACTTTCCCAAAAGGTGTGTAGTTATTGCACGCAGTATATAAGTCGGAACGGACCAGATCGGCCGACTATATCGGATAGCTCCCATACGAGAGAATGAAATTAAAAATTCTCACGCCGTTGTTTTTGATCAGATCCGAGTATAGCCGTCTTTTGAACAATAGTCGAAAATATAGAAAATGAATAGAAAAATCGTCTTAGCTTCGATGTTGTTTAGCCGTTATGTA